AATGAACGACCGCGCATACGAGCTAGCGCGCGAGAAGAAGCTGGCGGACCGGCAGTTCCTTGACCCGAAGCCGGAGGGCGTGCCCCTGCGCGAGCTTCCGCTGGACGACGACAGGGACTTCGTTGCGATGGAGCAGGAGCGCCGGCAGCTGCTGGAGGACCCGCGCAGGAATGCAAGGGAGATTGCGGGTCTTGAGCACCGTATGAACGACCGCGCACATGATTTGGGTAGGGAGTTTCACTTTAAAGAACGTATGTTTTTGCCTCCGGAGCCGAAAGGTGTTCCTCTTTATGCTTTTGCCGTTAAATAGTGACGAAGAGATGATTTTGCTTGAGGACAATCGGCGGCAATTGCTAAAGGAGTCAAATGATGGGGTGTCGCCGCAGGTGGTTGAGCTTGAGAGGCATATAGCAGGGCGTGTTGAGTTCTTGGCTGGCGATTTTCGTACGAAGTTGTTGGAGTTTCTTGACCCAACTCCCGAGGGTATTGGTTTGAATGAGTTGAGTTTGGAGACTGACGTCGAATTTGGTAAAATGGTGAAGGTTTTAATTCAGTTGGTGCAGCAGCCCGAACTCAACGCGGAGGGCATTAAGGACCAACAGTATGCTATGAACAATTACGTGCACGAGCTGGCGCAGGGCGTGCTGGGTCGGGATAGGAGTTTTCTTGCGCCGCTGCCGCAGGGAGTGCCGCTGGCGGATCTTCCACTGGATGACCCCGTGTTCCATGAGATGGAGCTGCAACGGCGGAAGCTGAGGAAAGAGCCGGAAAAGAATGCAGCCAGAATTGCCGAGTTGGAAGATAAGCTAAATGGTCGCGCAGATGAGCTTGCCAAGCTTCTCCGTGCGAGGGAACGTGCATTCCTTGAACCGGAGCCGGAGGGGGTGCCGCTGGAGCGTCTGCCACTGAATGAAGATCCGGTACTGCATGAACTGGAGACGCGCCACCGGCAGCTGCTGCGGGCGACGCCGAGGAACGATAGGGCCATTCGGAGTGTTGAGGAGACAATCATGGAACGCGTGCGTGAGTTGGCTTTACAGTACCGCGGATGGCAAGACGAAGAATTCCATGAGGCGAACAAGCACGTGGCGGAGGAGTGGCCACGCCTCTGTGAGCTCTACCCGGAGGGTGTCCGTGAACCGGTGGTGCCTGAGAAAAAGCTCCCATCACACGTTTCTTCTGCACCGCGTGAACTGGGATACTTGGCCCCATTCATCGCCGCTATGAGTCAACATCCTCCGCTTATTGACCGCCTGTTTGAGACAAAGGCGCACCCTGTGAACGGCCCATATAGATGTGTTTTTTATGACCCCAACAGTACGCCTGTGCCGGTGGACATTGACGACCGTGTTCCTGTGGATGCAAACATGGAGCCGAAGTTTACACGGGTTCCAAAGCGGTCGTGGTATCCGCTCCTGCTGGAGAAGGCCTACGCGAAGTTTGTTGGTGGGTACTCCCGGCTTGACCAGTGCACACCACACGAAACGCTGCGGGACCTGACAGGCCGCCCGGTGACGCACATTCCGTTTGAGGAGAAACGTGCGGAAGGGCTAAGCATGGGCGATTTCCGGTCCGTGAAGTTTTGGCTTGACATCGCCGCTGATCTTTCCAAGGGTGACATTATTACGGCAATGACCAGCAAGCATGTTCCTGATGGCATTCATCCGCAGTGCAGTTACGCCGTTTTTGGGGTAATTGAAACGGTGAGGGAGTCAAATGATCCGGCCGACATTGTGGTGAGGCTGCACAACTGCTACTTTGACGCGCCGACCTACACCGGCCCGCTCAACCGCGAGGACCCACGCTGGACGTCTGAGCTAAAGAAAATATGCGGCTTTGACCCGGCAGAGGAGGAGTTTTTGTACCTGCCACTGCCCGTGTTCTTGCGAAACTTCTCGAGCATGCAGCGCTGCCACATTAACTGCGGCGACCGCCTCACCGCTGCGGGGGAGTGGGACAAAAACTCTTGCGGGGGTAACCCGAAGTTCACGTCCTTCCGAAGCAATCCGCTTTATTTGGTGGAGAATAAATCGACGCGTCCGGCGCGAATCCTGGCCGAGTTGCGCCACCAAGCGCCTGTTTTTTATGATGCCGAGGGCGTTGGCCACTACCACCAGACCGGATTAGCGCTCTTGCAGCATGACGAGTCCGTGTCTGTGGTGAGTGGCCTGATTACGAACTCAACGCACAAGTTTATTCAGAAAGGTATTTTGTTGGACACGCGGGAGGTGTGTGCACGGATGGAGGTTCCCCCGCGGTCGACGTGCATCCTTGTCCCGTACACCATGAAGCGTGGCTGCCTGGGCAAGTTTAGCGTCTCTGTTTATCCCGGGAACTCGGGTGCGACTCTAATGCCGCTGCGACCGCTGCAGTCCACGCATGCCGCCTGTGAGGTGGAGGTGGTCCTTGCGCCGGGCAGCCGTGAGGGGAAACGCATCGACTTTGTCGTCAGCGAGGCCTGCGACGCCCACCTGCTGCTGCGTCAGAGGAAAATCACGGATCCGGCGTCGACCAAAAAAGGAGATGTGCTCGCCGAAGACGATGTGATGATGATGGTGTACGACGCACACACGACGCGCTTGGCGACGACCGGCGATGCGACGAGCGCACGCGAACACTCACTTGTTCTGCAGCTGCCTCTCTCCGGGCGGTATTCTGTCTTGCTCGGCTGTCCGAACAAGCCCGTGACGGGCGACTGCCCGTGCTCGCTTTCCATCTACACCCCACGGCGGGTCACCACGAGGATCGTGCCACTCCCAAAGAGTGGTGCCCCGAAGGTGCTGCCGTTTTTGTCGCCTCCCCACTCCATCCGGAGCGCCCCGCCGCAGACGGGCAGTCATGCGAACGGCAACGGCCCCACGGGCCTCGCGGCGGCGACGGTGGGTCGGCGAGCCGAGTCGCAGGGAGCGACAGTGCCGGTTCCCCCGCGGAACGGCAGGCCAGCGACGTACAGGTAAGAGGGCGAAGACGACACGCGGGCCAAACGGAGGTTGAAACGCGCGATACGCTCCCCTCAAAACAAAGCAAAAAAAGGCACAGCAAAAATTAAATTTAATAAGGCGAACATAGGGAGTGGAAGAGAGAAGTGTACCGATCAAGACATTCAAAGAGGGACGTAAAAAAGGCAGAGCGGAGATGAGGTGAAAGAGATTATAGTGTAGGTATGTACGTGGGTAGACAGGGCGTTCTTTTTTTTTTTTTAATTCTCAGCTTCTATTTCACTTACTTTTCTCCCTCCCTCGCCCTCCGTGGCAAACTAGAGCAATGCACGTGAAGTGCCGCGTTCGGGTATAGGTGATGTTGTGTGGCTGTGAAGGACGCTTTACTTCTACGATCCACTCCGGGGCCGGTGGGGAAAAAAAGAGAGAGAGACGAAGGAAGGGTCAGAAACAACGAAGTAAATGTTTCCAGTGCGCCACAGGTTATGCGACCAAGCTCACTCTTATTTTGAAGCTTCAGGCCGTTTTTGTTTTGTTCCGTGTTTGTGTTTGTGTATGTGTGTGTGGTTTGCTTACTTTTGTCTATTTGTTTCCTCGGTTAAAGCGAACTACTTCCTTTCTCGCCTGCCAGGGACGCCCCCGCGTGGTTGGGCCCGTGCGGGGGAATGACGCCCCTCCACGGCGGCGGACACAAGGAGGGACGCGAGGGAGCAATATGTACCACCAAAGAAAAAAAAACGACAAATAAAAACCTTTTCGTTAGCGAACAGCGCCTATACAGAGGCCCTTGCTTCTCTTTTCTTTTTTTTCTCGCTTTTTTTTTGTTTGTTTGTTTGTG